TTAATTAATTCCAGACTAATGTGGTTTTTATGGACCAAGACCCCCAGAAAGGTCACTGTAAACAGCCACAAAAAATAACTTCACCCAACAAAAAGCAGTTTGGAGAGAACTACACCCAAATTTCCAAATAGTTTTTAAAATTTATTTATTTTATACACATTGGTGTTTTTGCCTTCATATATGTCTGTGTGAGGGTGTTGGATCCTGTGGAACTGGAATCACAGACAGTTGTGAGCTGCCATGTGGGTGTTGGAAATTGAACCCTGGTCCTCTGAAAGACCAGTCAGTGCTCTTAACCACTGAGCCATCTCTCCAGCCCCCCAAATATTGTTTATAAGTGTTTGTTTACACTTAAAGGGGGATATGCTATAGAGATGGATACTTTACATTTGTATGGATCTTGGTTTATTGATACAAATTTAAGATCAGTTTTGTTTTATATATATTTCTGCTCTTGATTAAGGTATTGCGTTTGTACAGCTCATTTAAAAAATGTAATGTATAGTTAGGAAATATAGGTTAATAGATAGTCATCTATAAGGGCCAAGCTTGTAGTTGTGTTCGTTAGGTTTTCTAGATGTACAGAGATACATTTCAGCTAGATAGGTATTCTTTAAATCTTTCAAAGACCTTCAGAATATGGCATTTAAATGTTTTAATGACTTAGGACTTTTCATGACAATAAGACACGTCTGTTCCTGGCAGGGTTATTTTTTCTTTAAAGTTTGTTCAAAACAACAGTCTTCAAGCTCACTGTGGTGGCTGACCACATCCACGACCAAAGCCTTCTCTAAACTGGAGCTCAGTGGCTGAGCCAGCCTGGGCCTAGGCTTTCTTGTCAGCACCAGGAGGCACAGCACTCCTTCTGTAGGTGTTTCTGTCTGCTTCCCCTCTTGTGAATCTTGCCAGGAGCTCACCCTCTGGCCTTTTAGGCTAAGGCCTGCCGGTTTCTGGATGGCTACGGCGCAGGGTGGCAGGCACTATCTCCAGAGGTAGGTGGGACATAATCACGGAGATACTTCAAGAGGATGGCATTGGTTAGTCATCTGGGCAAGAAACTGCTCTAGCCTGGCCTGCTTGATGCTATGCTGTATGAACTGGAATGCAGAACCCACAGAGAAATGACTGCTGAACTTGCCTAAAAGTGAGACAATCCTTTGGGGTTGCTGCTTCATGAAAAAGTCTACTATCCCTAACTCCCACCAGCTGCAACACTTTGGAGAGCAAGACCCTGCTCCTTGTCTGGGCAACACAATGGAGCCAAACCTGCTGGGTGGAGGTGAGGGTGAGACAGCATGACCGCATGGGAGAGCTGCCCCACTAAATGTCTGTCATGTGGTTCTGTGGTAAAGGGAGAGGTGCCCCCTTACCACCTGCGACAGACAAGAGAGCTGACCGTACCCCTTGCCAACCGCAGTACACAGGAAGATGAGACCTATTCCTTGTCCAGGCAGCACAGCAGAGCTGGTCTGGAGTCACTGGGGGTAAGGGTGATCCAGCCCTGGTGTTGTGAGCAAGGGAGAGCTGTCCCCATTACTCATCTGTCATGTGGTGGCATGGCTGGAGGAGAGATGCCCACCTCTACATTCCCCCCACTCCACGCATCAACCCCTGAGACAGGTGGAGGAGCTGGCCCTGGGTCATAAGAGTGGGAGAGTTTTCCCTGCCTCTCCGGCTGCAACACTCGGGAGAGTGGCCCCTCTATTTCCCCTGGGCCACACAGTTCAGCTGGCGCTGAAAGCACAGGTGTGGGAGCGCTGACCCTGAGGGCCTGAAAGCAGGAGAACTGGCCCCACACCTTGCTCATTGCTGCAAGAGGTGAATTATCTCAGGCAGTGTTGGAGAGCTCACCCTAGTGGTGAGGACAGGGAAAACTACTGGGTGGACCAACCCTGCAGCTGCTCAGGCCCAGAACCAGGGTCACGACTAGGTCCGCCCCAACATTCACCCCATCTATCGTCTGCTGGAGCACATGAAGGGGTTTGACCTGCAGACCCAAAGGTGCAGGATCTCCACAACACAGGGCAACAACGGGTAACTAAGAAGACTCCCAGTGAGGGTCCAGCATCAATAGTGTAGCAGAAACCAGAGGTCTCACACCAGACCAGTGACTCTTTGCAATGAATATTTGCAAGTAAAGATACATGAACAAAAAGAGGGGGGGGTTGCTGCATGACTCACTGTGTCAGACTGCAGCTTCCATGATGAGACCCCTCCCTTTTTTCCTCTTTTCTCTTAAACTTTGCTTTATTTGGGGGAGTCAGAGTTAGGGGTGGAGGGCAGATGTGAAGGGATGGGAAATGAATGGGATGAAGATACATGATGTAAAAGACACACAGAATAAAAAAAAAAGGAAAAGAAAAATAGTTTTCAAATAGGGCAAAGTAAGGAATTGGGAGGAAGTTCGTTTCAGAACGAAAGTGCAGGCTCAGGCAGTGTGTGAGGGAGGCTCCTCGATACAGTCACGCTACATGGGATTTTGAATAGCTTGTTTTGGGCAAACTTGAATGGAGGGGAAGATTATTCATGAGTGAAAGCAGGGAAAAATCAGGGAACCCCAGGAATGGGTTGGGATCCCTCTTACTTCCCCCACAGGGTTACTGCCCAGTTTTGTCCTTAGATGGAGTCCTCAGATGCCTGCAGGGAATGCGCCATGTTACAAGGCTAGTCATACAAAGACATCGATCTGATGAAGCCAATGATAGTTGTCATCTCTGTTGGGTCCCAGTCGGCTTTGAGTGGTCTTGCTTTTTACTCATTAAGCAGTCTTGGCATACCTATGCACCACAGGGCTGCCGTGGCAGCAGCCCCTAGCCAACCACAATGCCAGCAATAACCCAGGCACTTCCTTCTCTGCTTGGCTCTCTCCAACACGCCAGCTGCTTTCTCGTAAAGCATGACAAAGATGACTGAAATAGGTCCTGGCATCGCCTCTAAATAGTACCACATCTAAAGACTGACAGAACCCACCCAGCCTCGTGCCTCCGAACCCAGGAGACTGGGATTCGCTCTCCACAGTTGTATCACATGCTCAGCCTGATGACCGACAGGAGATCCCCCAGGATTGCATCAAAGCTGTGGTTCTCCAGGCCAACTTCAGCATCACTTGGAAACTTATTGGAAATGCAAGTTCTCAGGCCCTACCAAAATTAGAAACTTTGAGAAAGAGACACCCAGACATCATGCCCTGCGTCGTCATATTATTGTTATTAGGGTGTGTGCCTGCACCTGTGGAGGTTTGAGGGAAATTTGCTGGAAATGGTTTTTCTTCCACTGTGTGGGGCCCCAGTGATCAAATTTCTGTCTGGCCACAAGAGCCTTTACTAACTTTACTTATATTTCTATTCTCTGGCCTTAAGTTTTCTCTTTTTCTTTCTTTTTTTTTCTTTTCCTTCTTCCTTTCTTTTTCTTTTCATTTTTTTTTTTAAGACAAGGTTTCTATGTAGCCCTGGTTGACCTGGAATTCTCTCTGTTAAACCAGGCTAGCCTCCGACTCACAGAGATTCGCCTGCCTCTGCCTCCCTTGTACTGGGATCAAAGATGTGCCCAGCTCAAGATATTTTAATGAAGGATTTAATTTAAGTAGTAGGATTAGGAGAAAGGAAGGTACTTAGGGAAAGAAAATAAGACACACCTAAGATGTGCATACGGACTTCTCTAAAAGATGCAAAAAGACACTCATGTTGAGTCTGTGTTCCTCAAAGGAGAGTCGTAATTAAGAGCTTTAGGATTCCTTGGTACACCAATTTGGTGACTCTAAGGTTACATCTCAAGAGGTGGCTGGTAAGTCCACCCACCCACCCACCTACTCCTTTGCTAAGTGAGGTTCTAGGGTGGTTCTGGAGGTACCATGTTCAGAATTATAATCAGATGAAACAAAACCAGAAGCCATTAGGATTAAACAGGGATTGTGGGCAAGTCCTTTCCTATAAATAAGATTTCTGGAGTAATGTCTAGAAAATCATAGACTTGTGGCCGGGAGGGAGGAAGGCCTTACATAACTGAAGGTTGCACTGGAAATTCTTGGTCTTCACTGCTGAGTGGCTTCCGGTCATGGGACTTCTTTTCTTTTCTCGTGGTCCTTACATTTACCCTTCTTTCCATCCCCGCTCGGGATGCAGAACGCACTAATTAGAACAAAGCAGTACTTCCATTTCCTTTTCTCTCTCTCTTTTTTATTTATTTTATTTGTTTTTTGTTTTGTTTTGTTTTTGTTTTGAGATAGGGTTTCTCTGTGTAGCTCTGGCTGTCCTGGAATTTACTCTGTAGACCAGGCTGGTCTTGAACTCACAGAGATTCGCCTGCCTGCTGGGATTGAAGGCGTCCTCTGCTACCACCAGTCTCCCACTTCCTTTCAAGAACTAAGTCTTCATGTCTTCATTTTCCTAACTGGCTCGATGACTATTTTGCATCTGAATAAAAGCAAGAATTCCGTTTTTATAAGTAATTTTTACATGTTAAAGCTTTGCTTTGCTGACTGTCCAACATTGTCTAAAGCCCTTCATTTTGGATTTTCAGGAAAGAAAGAATAACAATGTTAAGTTTTTTCAGCCGAACAAGCCTCTCCACCAATGCAATAATTCAAATCAGACCAAATCAAACCAAATTAGAAAAAAGGCCCAGGTTTAATGAATGCCAGTGCTCCTTGGTGGCCCTTCGGAAAAACACAGAGAGGGGAAAGTTGGACCAGAACGACCATGTATTTGTTCTCTAAGGGGCAGTTTAAATATCTTGGGGGGGGGGGAGGGGCTGGAGAGATGGCTCAGTAGTTAAGAGCACTGGCTGTTCTTCCAGAGGACCTGAGTTCCAGAGAACCTGAGTTCAATTCCCAGCAACCACGTGGTGGCTCACAACATCTGTAATGAGATCTGGCGCCCTCTTCTGACCTGCAGGCATACATGGAGGCAGAATGTTGTATACATAATAAATAAATAACATTTCTTAAAGTAAACAAATAAATAGCCCGTGGGAGTGGTCTTGACTCTCCCTGGACTCTCCCTGGGGAGGGGTTACCATTTGGCAGGCTTTCTCGGAGGTTGACTTTCTGTACTGAGGCAACTCCCAGGGGAGGGGACTTTGAAATGGAACATTCCACCTACCATTCCAAAACAGACCCCAGGAGCTGGGGTGAAGCCCCCAACCAAACATTCCAGACTCTTTGGATAATGGGGGGGGGGGGTCAGGGAGCTGAGGTGATACTTTTAACCAGACTTTTTTGATAAGGATGTTAGGGGCTGAGATGATGCTTCCAACCAAACATTCCAGACTCTTTGGATAAAGGGGGCACCAGCTCAAGTCTGGCTACTTCCTGTGGGCATGGGTGACGTGGGAGTGAGAGGGGAGAGCTGGGAGTTGGTGGATTCATGCTCATTGAGAGGTGTGGTTGGAGAAGCATCTGGTTTACTGCCATCCTGGAGACCTCAGGCATATGTTTCTTGGGGGAGATGAAAAGACAGGGGGCTAGGAGAAATACACACACACACACACACACACACACATTATTGGCCCTATGATGAGACTAACCATGGAAAGAATCATTAACTAGATCCTAGAAAGAATGGACAGAGAAGTGTCCTGGTTGTACAGGTGAGACTTGGGCGAATAAGTGAGACACAAGAGCAGATACGCCTTTTAAAACCAGATTTCAGTTGGTAGGTGTCCTTTTGAGCCAGGAGAGTTGGTACCAATGGTGAAGTCCCAGGAGCTGGTGCAGGTGTTGGCGTTGTCTGAAGGGCCCTTTGTAAGTTGATCTTGGCCCAGACAGCAGAAGTGATCTGTAAAATATGCTTGAAAATGGGTGGGGTTAAAATAGGCTCTGGAGACTGTTAATTTTTTACCAGATCTGATTTTTGATGTAGCAGTATAACTATTTTTAGGAACTTGCAGATATCTGTAAGACAATTGGAACAGGAACATTTTAGAAGACAATCAAAGGGAATTGGGAACTCTGGATCTCTGAAGATACATCTGAAACCTCTTAATGCAGGGCTATGGAGCCTGTAAGAGGCACACCTGTCTGTATTTTTAGCAGGAAACTTAACAAATGAAGTAATGAGCTACTTGTACTTAAGTCATCAAATGCCATTAGACAGATCTAAGAGGGATAAATGAGCAGAAATGAGACAGCTTTTTTAGCTACACAGGCAATCCCAAGTCTCTTTGTAGTCTTTGGAGAACACCAGCCTTAGAAGCAGTGCTTGCCGTTAGCTGCTGAGTTTAAGAGGCCAAAAGATTTTTCTGTGGGGGAAGGATTTAGTCTACCTATCTTGTCAGGATGAGAAGATCGATCCCCAGATATAGCATTCAGGAAGCTGATGAGGTGGAAGGCTGTTTTTTGCTGTGTGGGTGGCTTTGCCATACCCAAAGGCAAGCCTCCAGGTGTAAGGTCTTTTGTAACCATGCATTTTCTTGGTGGAGCTATAGGATGCTGCAGGAGCTGGCAAGTCTCTGAATTAGAAGTTCTTTTGTTAAATGCCATACTCTCAGGTCTGTAAAGGCACTTGAGAATTGGGTACCATTACCTGTTAGTTATATTTAAATTAGACATATAAGTTAAATTTAGACATGTATTTTACCCAATTAGTTACAGCTTATCAATGCTAATAAATGTAAAAAGATTAAAAGGAATACTTTAGTAAATTAAAGAATTTTGGAGGCGAAATGGCTCTTTGGTAGATCAAGCACATGTGGGTTCTCTTACCAAAGATGGAGTTGAGGTCAAAATAGTGGCTACGTACATGTTTGTGTCTTTTTAGAACTGTTGTAATCTGGAGTTACAAGTTTTACAGATCTGAAAACATGCACACATACACACAGAAATAAGACAAACATACTATGGAAACAAATACACGTACACATGTAGACATAAAAGCATAGTGTGGCCACATTATTTTAACAGACAGACATATAAAACTTTTTTTAGGAACCTGTGTCAGCTGGCCAACTTAAAAATCCTTAAAAAACTTAAAAAAAAAGAAGCCAGGGAAGCACACAGGTGGTCCCATTAAGGACCAGATTAGCAGAGGCTGCAAGAGGGAACAGAAACATAAGGATGGAACACCTGTACGGTTTTAGAGTGGGAGCACAGGGAGAAATGGATCTGTTATAGAGAGCAAACAGCGAGAGAAGGGGGAGGGGAGTACAGGGAGGGAGAGCGGGAGAACAGCATCCAGAAACTATGGGCATATGGGACTTTGTTTGTTTTACGTTAGGCTTTAGATAGCCCCAATTTAAAAGAATTTTTGTAAAAGGCAGTCCAAGGGCGTTTGGAGATCAGGCCTCAAATCGCAAGTGTACATTTTCACACGTCTACGCCAAGTCTTGGGACTCAATGCCTACCACAATGCGTCCACTGTGGTAAGACTCTTGAGTCAAAAAACAGAGGAGTATGAGAATTTCGTGGACAGACATCTCTGTTCTACGGAATCCCACGGAATCCCACCCGAGTGAGGACTGCCTCACTGCTTTAGCCTGGTGGGGAGGGGGGGCGTGGCAAATGGGCCCTGGGCCCCAGGGCCATCATGTACTTGAAAAAGGGGAACTCACCCACACGAAGCCAGTGTTAGCCTGGTGGAGCGCACTGGCGAGATGGGGGTTTTTTTTTTTTTTTTTTTAACACATAAGTCCTGGGCCAGTGGTGAAAAACAGCCCCCCTCCTCCCCATGGGACCTCCAGATGTTAAGTTTTTTTCAGCCCAACAAACTTCTCCGCTGATGCGACCAAATCAGACCAAACCAAACCTAATTAGAAAAAAAGGTCCAGGTTTAATGGATGCCAGCCCTTAACCAAACAACCACTTTCTACACTGTCTAGATATTATCATTGCTGTCAGTAGTGTGGGGGTGGAGACAGGAGGCCCAGCTACCTCATTCTGTCACCCACAGCACCTCCAAAAGCTCGATTCATCTCTTAGACTCCTTGACTCTGGTCTAATAGAGAATTTGTGGCTTTGGCTCAGTCAACAATTTCAGGCATAGTCAGTGTGAAGCAGAGTCGGGGTCTAAGAAAAAAATTTTGACAGAGACTTTAGCATGAGGAGTAAGAGGAAGGGAGGAGGTGCTGAAGCCACAAGATACACTTAAAAGCATGAGCGTGGGGTGGCCTACTCGAGTGTTCTTCCTCAACTTCACAGCACTCAAACATTTTGGTGGATTTTGTAGTGACTATCTTAAAGGTCTGCTAAGGAATCTAAACGAGATCTCGAGGAGGACCAATTCGGGGAGGCTGACAGGATCGCACTCGATAAAGGAAGCGTCTGGTTCATCTGAATATATGGTAGAAAGACATCTTTACTGTAAACAAAGTTAACAGTCTTGGTTGAGAGTCTCAGAAACTGTCAAAGGAATGAGGCCCTGGAACCCAAGGTCATATACATACAGTCCTTAAGCCTAGCTCACTGTTATTTTAAAACAACGTACCTTCTGCATAAAGGGATGTTATTTTTATGCTGATATCCTTCATAGCTAATGTTCACTGTGCTGCAATTCCTGCTTCTCGGTTGACAGAGTCTTCAGACTCTTGGGTGAAGGGCTTCTTTCCTGTCATGTGTCCCCTTAATTTTTCCTGTCTTTCTACCCTACCTCACCTGGAAGCCAAATCCAGAACTATAGACTAGATAGTCCAGTAAGAACCAGACACATCTAACCTAATTACCTAACTTTATGAATGAGGAAACAGACTCAGGGAAGGGAAGTGGTTGATGCCCCATGAGACTGAAACCAAAACCTGGATTTCCTTCCTTCTAGATTCAAATTCATCTCATAACTAAACACTCCACCAGCAATCTTCTGTTTTGAAACTTTAAAATTTTGCTGTTTCAAAGAAATGATAAATGCTTCAGGAGACTGGTTTCATTTAATTTAAACATTATATAGCTATAAACCAGCATGGAACTTTCACACAGTACCCATAGGTGCATACAGCCTTTATATATATATATATATATATATATATATATATAAAGTGATATATATATATATCACTTAAAAGGTAAAAACCAAGTTTTCAAAAAATTATCTATTAAAATATTTTTAACCTTCCTTTTTATTTTATGTGTATGGGTGTTTTACTTGCATGTGTGTATGTGCATCATGGTCATGCAGTAGTGCCTGTGGAAGTCAGAAGGCATTGGATCCCCCAGTACTGAAGTTACAGATGGTTGTGAGCCACTGTGTGGGTGCTGAGAATTAAACTCAGGTCCTCTGGAAGAGCAATCAGTGCTCTTAGTGGCTAAACCATCTCTCCAGCCCCCTAAAACTAATGTTTAAAAAAATATTTTATAGGATCTGGAGAGATGGCTCAGCACTTAAGAGCATATACTACTCTTTCAGAAAACCTAAGGTTGGTTCCCAAGATCCACATCTGGTGGCTCACAGCTGCCTTCAATTCCATCTCCAGGGGATCTGATGCCTCTGGCTTCTGGGGGCACCTGCACTCACATTCACAGACGTACACACTCATCAAGCGCGCACACACACACATGATGTGAGCAATGGTGGAAATAAGTGTGTGAAGCTGGACAGATGGTTCAGCAATAGGAGCTCTGGCTGCTCTTCCAGAGGCCCTGAGTTCAATTCCCACATGGTGGCTCAAAACCATCTATAATAAGATCTGATGCCCTCTTCTGACAGGCAGATTACATGCAGAATACTCATACATAAAATATAAATAAATAAAATATTTTTAAAACATAAATAAATATACATTTTAAATCTTTTTAAAATTACTTTGCAATTTGAGTAGAGTGTAGCAAGTTTTTCTCTGTACTGCCAGCTCCAAAATAATGATAGGGAGACTTCTTATTAATTATGAAAGCTTGGCCTTTAGCTTATGTTTGTCTCAACTAGCTCTTATAACTTAAATTAACCCATTTACATTAATTTATGTTCTGTCACGTGCCTCTCCTCCATTTTGCATCTCCTGTTTCCTCTCCAAGTCACTCCACCTTTCTTTTCCCAGAGTCCTCTCTGTCCCTGGAAGTTCCATCTAACCTCTTCCTGCCTATTCAGCTCTTTATTAAACCAATCACAGTGGCACATCTTTGTACACGCTGAACCTACCTGAGAGACCACTTTATCAGGCCTTATGTGGGTATTCCAGCCTCCACGCTGGACACCATATGTAGTTGGACTTTCCTTTGGACCCACCTTCTCACAAATAACAACACAGAGACTTATCATTAACTATGCAAGCTTGGTGTATAGCTTAGGCTTGTTCCTAGCTAGCTCCTGAAACTTAAATTTACCCATTTACATCTCCATCTTATCATGAAGCATTACTTCTCTTCCATCTTATACCTCTTGTTTCCTCTCTGTGTCTCCAGGAGTCTCTGCTATACCTAGATTCCTCCTCCTCTTCCTCTCTCTTCCTGCCAATCCTGACTATACCTCCTGCCTAGTTCTTGACTGTTCAGCTTTTTATTACACCAATCACAGCAACACACCTTCACACAGAGTCTAACTGTGCTCTAAAGTGGTGTAACATAAGGTAGGCTGGTTATAAGCCAGCCTAATAAATAGCATCATGGTTTGGAAAGTTCTCAAATGCCAACATGCTATCACATTTGAATACCCACAGGCAAAGTAAATAAGCTACGGTTTAAGGTCACACCACAATATATATTTAAATTTCACACCATTTTCTCCTCTTACTTCTGTCTTGTCCTGTTTGTGAAAGTTGTTCTCAGCTGGTTCCCATGACTGCTTTTCGGTCTCTAGGCATAGCTGTGTCTGGACCACTCTGTGTATGCCTAACTCTGCATGACTTTTCTTTCTGTTTCTAAGACTCT